GCCCACACCTTTTTGGTCAGGCCCTGGCTTCTGACCTGCTCTCTCTGTCTTTCCCTAAATCCAAGTTCATACAGTATGTAGATGATATTTTACTTTGTAGCCCCTCCTTGGAAGTTAGCCGGACTGACACTTCCACCCTCCTAAATTTCCTGTCTAGCAGGGGTTACAGAGTCTCACCTTCTAAGGTTCAATTGTCTACCACTCAGGTTACCTATTTGGGACTAACCATTACCCCAACCCACAAAGCTATTACTGTAGACAGAAAAAACTTAATCGGGTCTCTTGCAGTTCCTTCTACTAAAGAGGAGATTTTATCATTTCTGGGAATAGCTGGCTTCTTACGTACCTGGATCCCCTCTTACTCCCTCCTTGCCCGCCCCCTTTATGAGGCAGCTCTCGGACCTCCCCATGAACCCCTCCTTAACCCTGTTACTAAGCCCTTTCAGAGACTTAAACAGGCTCTCCTAAAAGCCCCTGCTCTTCACCTACCAGATTTAACTCGTCCTTTCTCCCTCTATGTAACAGAAAAAGAAGGATTTGCCCTTGGAGTTCTAGGTCACCAGCTAGGACCTTTCTTTGCACCAGTAGCTTATCTGTCGAAGAAGCTAGACCTAACCACCCAAGGATGGGCATCCTGCATACGTGCTTTAGCAGCTGCTGAGCTTCTTATCCGTGAGTCAAAGAAACTAACCTTTGGGTCACCCATCACTGTCTTCTCTCATCACAACCTGTCCCATCTCCTAACCTATAGAGGCTTACAAACTCTACCTCCTTCCCGCGTTCTTTCCCTCCAGGTGGCATTAGTAGAAGATGCCACGCTTACATTCCAATCTTGCCCACCCCTTAATATCTCAAATTTTCTACCTCAACCTAATGCTAACTATTCTCCAACTCATTCCTGCATTGAAACCTTAGAGGAACTATTGCCCCACCCTTCACACATACAGGAAGGCACACTACCTCAGGCCACCTATACCTGGTACACAGATGGCAGCTCCTTTTTACATGAGGGGACCCGTAAAGCGGGCTATGGCATAGTGTCAGACACCAGGGTGGTAGAAGCACGGGCACTTCCTGCCCACACTACTAACCAACAGGCTGAATTAATAGCCCTCACCCGTGCCTTTCAATTGGCACAGGGACATTCTCTAAATGTTTACACAGACTCTAAATATGCTTTTCATATCCTCCTGTCCCACGCAGCTATTTGGAAGGAACGTGGGCTACTTACTACAAGAGGAGGATCCATAACTAACTCAGATTATATTATGGCTATGCTAAGGGCCTCTCACGTCCCCAAAGCTATAGGAATTATTCACTGTTGGTCACACCAGACTGACAGCTACGTTT